TGAGATGATGGAGAAGGAGAAACTGCTGAAGGGAATGTGGGGAAATATAGTCGGAATTGTCGTGTTTCCGCTAAGGATTTCCCCTGAGGACGACCCCTTAGCTTACGTGCGTAGAGCTAAGGCAACTATGGATAAAAAGAAACTTTCGCTCGGCCACAAAGTCGCGTTTGGGTTTATGAAGCTAATGATGTTTTTGTTCGGAAGCAGGGTAATTATTTAATTTCACGATTTTTTCCTTTTTTGGGGGTGCCGATATTTCATGCATTAGTTCTATTTTTTACAAACTTAAAAAGTGGAATAAAATCGAATACTCGACTTGTGGAGGGTATAGGTGACGGCCCGCGTGTCGACTAGAGTTTTCCGGAATACGACGTTGAGCTTCTCGAACGTGGTGGGCCCACGAGAGGAAATAACCGTGTTTGGTCATCCGTTGGCGTACATTGCTCCTTCGGTTTTCGGCTATCCTCAGGTCATTGCGTAAGCATATATGGAATATAAATCAACTGAATGAAAACTTTACGCAACGAGTAGTTGTTTTGAATGTGAGTATTCATTTTTTTAATTAAACCCTTTTTTTTGTATATTTTTGTGCAGGGACTGGTGATACACTACCAAAGCTACGCGAATCGGCTTGTGATATCCATTGGAGCTGACGAGAAGTTGCACCCGAATCCTCATCAACTTTGCGATGATTTGGTTAGGTCTTTCGAAAGAATTAAAGAAGCTGTAATGAAAAAAGGGCTTGTTAATGGATCTGAGTTTTGTTGAGAGTGTGTGAAGGTTTATGTTTTATATTTGGAGGTAACAAAATAAGGGTTAATTTGTTGATGGCTCTGAGTTACGATGAGTGTGAGGTTAATGTGATTTAGAGTGAGATTTCTTGTTCTGATTTTGTGTTATATTTTGGGTTTCATTACATTGGATGCATGACACACGTTTATGATAATATTATATTTGTACATGTGTATGTATAGAGTATTTAACGGAATAAAATGCGAAATGAAATATGAAATTAAAACTAAGAGACTCAATCAAAGACTTAAACTTATCTCTGATAAAAGATGTGAAGCCCCAATAAAAAGTTTGCAATTTATTGAAAAAAATCTAAAGACATTACTCACTATTTTATTCTTGAACTATACAAAACAATCAATTAGAAGACCTCAAATTGCCAAAATAAACCAACAACTCTAACTAGGTTGGCAATTACTAACACGACACGACACGACACGACATTAACAGGATTACCAAGACAAAAATGACATGATGGACATGACACGACAAAAAACAAGACACAAAAAGCAGGGAATATAAATTTAGTTAAATTCAAATTTAGTATAACTACTCATGATCAAATGAAAACAAATTAATACACAAAACACAACAATAGCAAAACACGAACACGACACTATAGCACGATTAGCTAACCCTCTGATCAAATACAATGTCTCACTTATACTTATACTGATACAACTTATACGTCAATTTCGAATCTTGACTCCACAACTGATGAATCTCATGGGCGTACCTAAAGCCCGAACTCGGTCGGTGATTGGTGCTCAAATACGCGTACGGGATTAGGTAAAAGGACCTGTTGATCGGGCCCACCAACATTTTTTTGCCTTGTAATGTAAAACGTTTTTTAATTTGCGAAACACAAAAAAACACACACAGTCAAAAGACATAACTAACCACCTATTAAAAACTATTTCCATAAAAATATCAGATTTGGGAGAATTTAAAAATTGTACCTATTCATTCCAAAACAATAAAAGCAGTTAGAATTGGAAGTTACACCTAATCAATACAACAATTAAACCAATAATTAATTGCACTCTCTCTCATCCTCTTTTCGTTCCATTTATTTCTTTTCTCTCTTCTTTTTTCGCTCTTTCTCTCTCTTTTCCTACATAACAATTAAATTAACTAAAAAAGCAACACAAGTATTAGTTTTTATAACTTAATAAATTAATAATATATCAACATTAAAATATCTGAAAAACAACAAGAAAAAAACTTTTGAGATAGTTTAGCAGTAGATTATTATAAAATGAGGATAATTACAAAACTGATCACAAAAGTTTACGGCCAGTTTTTCAAAATTGCATATAATTTTTGTGAACATGAATCAGCATGCGACACTTATGATTCATTTATAAATCCAACAAAGAAAAACATTAAAACTGTCGGGTCCCAGAACATACTTCATACCTGTTCATGAGCCGTCAATTCTTCGAGTCACGATAATGCTTCATCCACTTCATAAATACCAACCCGCCTCTTGAACCAATTAATAATTAGGTTTGCGATGACACGAATTTGGGAATCTTCAATTGGCAAAGCCCAAACAAAGCCGCGAGTGGTGGTGCAGCCGCAAGCCGCGGGTTACCGCCGCCATGAACAAAGCCCGCCTCGTGATCCATCGTCGAGATCTTTAAATTTGGAGGCCTTGTTCTAACCATTACCAGTGATT